AAGGAGAATTGAACATATCTAGGACTGGGCGCAGTGGAAGACCTGGTTTATGAACTTTGGGTAAACCATACAGTCGTGGCGTATAAGATCCAGACGGTTTAATAAAATCAAGAATCTCTTGTGTAATTATTCCCTTATTCTTTAAATCCTTAAGAGAGTTAGTCAATTGGTTTTCCACTTTTTCATTTATATCGGAATGACTGGTGACTTTTTGAAATTTGCTGGTATCATTAAGCATTGTTTCCATCTTTTCAACGTAGTCCTTTTTATTCATCAGCACTATGCCTCCTCCTTTATCAGGTTTGCTTATAATCAAGGTTTCCTCCTTTCTTAGTTTAGTTAAAAAGTCTCGGTGCTGCTTGGTAAGTAGGCGGTTTGTAGTACTCTTACTATTCTTATATTGTTGGCTTCTGTCAACTAAAGTGGTCTTAAACCTGACTAGGTCCTCTAATGAGGTAGTAGCGTATTCTATTTCATTGTGATTATTATTGACTCAAATAGCCTTGATTGGTCTAACATTTTCATATAAATATTCATGTATATTAGAGTAAAGCCTGATGACGATCTAACTGAAAACAATTGTTCGCTTACATACATCTCAGTCCTACAGGAGGTGATCAATCAATTGTGATGGCAAAGTACATCGTTTAAAGCATGTAAATTTAGGAATGTCAAATCAAATAGAATAAAATTGTTGATATGAATCCTATAGAATATTAAATTGAATCTGTATATATGTTAAGTGGAAATTTAATATCTGTGATCAATTACAATTCGATCAAGTATATATATATATAGGTAGGTAGGACAGATCGCCGATTGGAGGACAGTATAGGGGAACATATTCCAAGATGGTTAGTCAAATCCATGATTCATCCACCTAACCCGTCATCTCAAGATCGATCAACAAACCCAGCCTCGTCCATTGTAAAACATCTAATGATGAGTGGTCATCAAATTGACCCTATAGAGTTGTGACAAGTCATCAAAACCCACACACACTCAGACTACTCGAAGCTATCTTGATTGGTCGGAAAAGTCCAAGTTTATGTGTTCAAAAACAACTGTACGTTGACCTTTGTTTACCATGGTTCTAGTGAGTCATGGTAAATAAGAAATTTTGACCTTATATTCAAAACTGTATTTACACGAATAACATGTTGCTTGTATGTGACTGACGAGAAAGCAGGAAATGGTACTATCTCACAAAATTTGTCTGTTGAAAAATTAGTAAGACGTAATAAGGAGGGATCAATGCAAAGTGAATGAATCATGTGTAGGGGAGATTAATAATGATGTTTAACCAATAGTAATAATATTAATACAAAGCAATTAGTCCCTTTGATTTGTGAATAAAGATAAGAAAGACAATTACATTTGACTACGAAAGGTCGTAAGTACATAACCAAATTAAGTCATCCAATAGATAAGATTACTATTGAGTCATATCAACATCAACATTTTTATTCTATTCGGTTTGAAAATCCTAAATTTACATGCATTAAACGATGTACTTTGCTTTTAACCTGGCCATTTTTTCGGTTTATTAATTTGGATATATAATTGTAGAACCTGAAAAGAATTTATCGAAAAGAATATTCTTCGTTCAAATATTAGTCTTTTAATATGATGGGGATCTTTAAACGATTAAAATTAATAAGGATACGAATGTGCATATTCACTCAGACTTAAAAAATGTACCTGTATAAATGTTGATTATTGAACCTGTAAACAATTACAAATAAATAATTAGAATAACTTGTCTGGCTTTAAATCTATTTAGACACAAATAGAGATGAATGAATCAGCAACGTTATCATCATAATTTAAAGAGTAACAGAGTAACCATAAATTATTGTAACTTCGATTTTTGTATGATGTAAAGACGTAGGGTGGATTATGAGATTAAACAAGCAAATTTGGCTTTTAAGTTATGATATGGCCATAAATTTCTTGGTATGAAAGACCTGAATAGTAATTCAGAATAGTAAGTAAATGATGCAAATTTTCAAGATTTCTTGATTCTATGGTTATTTTCATTCAACGACTAACCTTAACATCTGTTAGGATAGCATAAACTGCACAACTAACAACTTTATTAAATATTAATGAATGAGAGTCAGTCTACAAAGTAACAGTATATAAAACACACTACTGATTAGTTTTCGTCTAGTTTTGAGACGAAACAAAGCTGATAGCCTTATGAAATATTGTACTTACATCTTAGTCATTTCCCCGCTTTTTTAAATTTGATATGCCTTCATCCGTGTAGATGTATTGTCGAACCAAAATTTAATGTTCATTAAATGTAATTATTATTCATAGGATTTCATAAATTCAAATCAGTAAAAATAATACGCAGGTTTTCTTTCAATGTAATGATTGTAAGAGTTAATTAATAAAATTAATCTAACAGAGTGATATTGTACATTGAAAAAATAAACACCTTGATATTATTGTAAAAAATTGATAATTATGAAATCCTAATAGTTGGATCCATGAATCAATCTAAGCTAAGCCACCATTGGAAACCTGAAAGCAATGGATGGCCGTTTCGCCCCAGTATGGGACTCCTTACTGGTGGTCTAGCTTATATCCACTCATGTATTGAATTGTTAAAACTACGATCTCCACAAACCGTCCTCATTATAATTATGAAGTCTATAAATTCTAAAGCATGCAGATGTAGACTTCCTGGTTGGGGAATAATCAGTGACTGCCACCAGCAGTTAGAGACGTTAATTTATTTGGCTCAAAATTGGTTATAGTTGTATAGATGCATCCGCATTCAGATTATCTTGAGTTCCAGTATTCCTTCATACATACCTTTCCACTTTACCTATTCACATTTTTAAGCCTTTTTCACTATCACTACTACTATTTTATGTCGAATGCCTAATACTATTCAAATTACTAAATTGATCTGGTCCTGTTAATATGGTATGACAATTTGAGATAACGCAGATTTATTCCAAGTTTCATGTTGCATATGGTTCATTGATTGACTAGGTAACAGCTAAACGCTACAATCTAACTTTCAGTAATTTTTTGTCATGCAACATTAACGTACAACGAATATTTCATAGAAACATTTTTTTCATTATATGAAGGAAATTGTAGCTGAATAAAAATGTAATTATCTCGCTTTTAAGATTTGATAGCTTCAGGCATCATTATTTACTTCCATAGATATTTTTGATATCAAGTGATATACTACCTATTATCTAATAACAAATACATTTCAACTAAAATACATTATAGTCTGAAATGCAAAGTATTACGAACAACCGTTAGTAATATAAGCATTGAAGATCAGGATACATTGAACAGATGCTTTGTTTTCTTAAAGAATTACTCAGCTTTGACCACATATAACCCAACTGCGGTTCGATGCCAGGATATTGAAATATCATGTTGACTGCTTTATCTTTAGACTGCTGAAATGGCATCCAGTGGTTGATATGTCCAATTTTAATACACTCGCAGTATCACGCAATCATTTCTTACTGTCTTTTGTTTCGTGCCTGACACAGCTCAACTATACTTGGCACGACTTCTTCTTAAAATTGGTCGCTATTGAGTATCACACGATTGTTGAATTCTCATAATTTGTAACCACAACCTTTTTATTTTTAAATTCCATATAATATTCTTAATAAATATGAGTATTATTTATTTTTCTAATCTGATCAGTTTACAGGAATTTTAAACAAACACCTCAACTTTTTATTGAGGTATTTTGTAATCGATATAAATCTTGTGAAATTTTCTTGATGATATTTACATTATCTGAGTAGATATAAGTTTTACGATGGTTTACGATGAGTCAGTTAATTTTCTCAGCAGTATTCATACATATGTTGGCTGCACAATATAGTTGGTTACTGTTCATCAATTAAAAATACGGTTATTTACAAAAAAATGATACTTTTAAAAGGTTCACCATTTTTAAAAAACTGATTCATTTCTATTTCTCAATCGTAAATGAATGTATGTCTATTCATTTAAACGAATCATGAACTGATGTTAGCTGAGAAACCATTTAAAAATTAGTTGTTGGATATTTGAAGTTGTTTGGATAAACAGTGGATAGAAATTTCGTTGTCTTTGGCATTGTCAGTGAAACCGAATAATAAATATTCCAGTTGTGTTTGCAATACAATATAAGACTGATTCTGACTTCAGTGATCTTGTGGTGTGTGGTAATGGTGTCGACAGATATGAATAGCGCATAACACCTATTGAAAGTGGAATGCCTAGAGTCAGTAGGTTGAGAAATTCAAAGAGAAGAGGACGAAAACAGAGAGCGGTTGATATAGAAACGAAGGAAAAACAAATTATGAGACAATTGATGGATATTTTGCAAATGAAGTATTTATTGTATGGTTCTAGGATTTTACCAAGGTATTCTGTAATATTGTTGTCCCCACTAGTGTCTCGTTCACAACAATACATAAAGGCTATAAAAGGTTAGCAGTTTGGTTACCTGATGTATAAGCTGCCTATTTAGACAACTGTACAAAGTTTGCTTTGGTTTAACTAATTATAAATGCATATTCCACGTCTAATACACGTACTCCTTGTAGATATTTAACCAAAAAGATGTTGGTCAGAAAACATCGATTTTTTTTCCAAAATCACCATTGGGGATAAATGACATTACACACCTAACACTTATGGATAAGTAAAGGAATGTAGATCTATGGAGAAATAACAATAAACAATTCATTGTTTACCTGATTTGATTTGGTTCCATTGTGTCAGATTTATATTGTTGATGAAGAAAAGGTTGATTAAATTCCAATAAATCAAATTCTATATAGAAAGTCGCATTTAATCAACAGTTTTATGATGATTATTACCAACTGCCTAACACTTAACTACATTCCAAAATTTAGCACATTATGTCGACAAATGTTTGTTTGGAATTTCTTAAGAAATGTTCAATTTTTCTACGCATATAATTTGTGGCTGGATGTTTATTTTTTATCTCTTTCAAGGTAGTGATTATAAAATAATTGCAAATGAAACTCTTGAAGAATTGGAATGGTGTCTTAAACAATTGGAAAATATCCAGACGAAGAGGCCTGTCTCTGATATGGCTTTTTCAAAAGTGAGTTTATCAGAAGTAACTTATTTAACAATTATAAAATGACGAAAAAATTTCATTATTACCATTTAAAGTGGGCTCATTTTATCGAATATCACAAGAAAATAGTTGTTTAATTAACATGTTCACTTTGAAGAATATAACAGCATTATGCGACACTATTCAAGCATGCATGACAGAAAATTTTCCATCATTATTAGTAATCTTATAGTTCATAGTAATGCTACTACAGTGATTAAAGTCAGAGTGTTTAATACGAACGTCGAGACAGCTCTACTCTACGGAGCTGAACTTTGGAAAACTACTACAACGTTCATCAAGAAGATACAAGTATTCATAAACAATTGTCTACAGAAGATACTCAATTTTATTTTTACCGGATACTCTCAGCAACATCCTACTATTGAAGAAAACAAAACACATTTCAGCTGAGGAGGAAGTTAAGAAAAGACGTTGGAAGTGGATAGGACACATATTGAGGAAATCATCAAGCTGCATCACGAGGCACGTGCTAACTTTGAATCATGAAGGAAAACGAAAATGAGGAAGGCCAAAGAACATACTGCGTCGGGTATCGGAAAAAGACATGAAAAAGATGAATAACAACTGGAAAGGACTGTGAAAGATTGCCCAGGACAAAGTTCGACGGAGAATGCTGGTTGGCCTTTGCTCCTTCACGAGAGGTAACACGTGTAAGTAAGTAATTAGGTATGTGTTTGAAGTCAATTAATAGGTCGGTATATAAATTTTATGAATAGCGCATAAAATATTTGAAATGAACATCAAATGAAACGAATGCCGTTTATCGAAATATATATAAGTAACAGTGACAAAAATGAATAAATCTTTCTGACTGTCATTTTTAAATAATAATTTTAAACTAACAGTTCTATTTTTTTCATTTGTTTTTTTTCTTTTTTTTTCAAAGTTTAAACGTTTACTCAACAAAGAGTTGAATAGTTTTGGTGAAGCTGATAAATCTAGACATCAAATATCTGCATATATTTGTGAGACATTTTTAGGTGAGAGACTTATTATTAATCACCATTTACGCCTGTTTATAAAATTAGTTGAACAGTTGTTCATTTTAATTGTATTTTTTACGTAGTGACATTTTGGACAGTACTGATGAGTGTATGTTGATTTACAGAGATATTGGAATAAACAAATAAATTTGCCTGTTATTGTACCAATTCATATTAGAACATTCATTTAATAAGCTTGATCACTTTAGTTCGACAATATCAGCAATCCAAAAATTATCAACCTCTTCTAAGTAAGCAATCTATGGCTGGTAAAACAAGGTAGTTGGTAGATAACAGTACTTGTATAATTGTCCGTAATTAATTTGAAAATAAATGGGAGTTTTATATCTTCAAAGATATAAAAGTATCACGAATTTTCTGATATTGCTAAATGCTAGACGTGAGTTAGAATGTCTATATTCCTACAAGTGGCTAACATCTACATAAAATTAACGAAATGTATCATTTTTTTATTGAAATTATGAAACCGATATTTCATTATCAAACATGGTAACCGTGAGTATATGAATATATATGGTCTGTTAACGTTGCAAATTTTCCTACAAGTGACTATTACATAAGTTTCTTTGTTTTGTAAAGTATCTATGAAGCGATTTACATATTAATATATATATATATATATATATATATATTTATATATATATATATATATATATTTGTATGCGGCAAAAGCTCATGTTTCGCACTTGTCATTTACTATGGTCACCAGGTTTTATTATGCAACATTATGTTATCTTTCACTTTAGTTGATACATTTTGTAAACTTTTCATCCTGTGTTATAAGTAACCGATAAAGTTTGGTAACACAAAATGAATTCACATTATTCTGCTTCATTAGTTACTGCTAATCTGCATAAATAAAAATATATATATATATATATATATATATATATATATATATATATATATATATATATATATATGAAAACCCTCGATAATTATTACTCACTTAACATGCCTTTCATTAGGAATGCTTGTGTGTTATCATGGCTACTCACTGGAACTCCGAAAAGTGTATCTCAAAGCTAGTCATTAGTGATCGTATGATAATAATCAGTATAAAGTTTTGAAGATTGTTGAGTTATGTATGAAATCATGAACTGATCAATGTTAGCAAAGCACTGAAAACATAGAAACACTGGATCGCTACTTCATCTTAGTATGTAACTCTTCAGCTCCGCGCATCCGTGACCTTGTACCCGAGACTCGAACTTAGGATCTTCACTCTCGAGCGAACGTTTAATGTCTAGACCGCTGAGCAGGCGCCCAACGGTATTAATGTCAAACTTTGAACAATACAAGATATTGTGCGACCACCTTCTACTGCCTTAGGCGGGTAACTGTCTGGAATATAATTATCTGAAACTATTTATATTAGTCTAAATTAACTTTTACGGGGGACAAAGCTTATAACCTGCCCTTCGACCCTGAGATAATCAACATGTGCACCAAAAGAAATGAAAAAAACAAACTTTAAAATTCATGATTTTGATTGATGTAGAGGAAAATATCCGATTACTCTGATGAATTAAATTTCATCATTATCTTTTAATTTTATCAACCTTGGTAAAATATTCATTGTCAGGAATTGCTAGGAATCAGTATCAACTAGAAATCATTCGAAAACCATAAATTAATGTTTTAATATTGTTTGAGACTCTTTGACAGTATGCAGTCATAACAGTACCAGAGAATCAAACCCATGACCGCTGTTTATGTGACTTATGAATTACTCTAAATGTGAATTGTCTAGACAGGAATTTTCAATTTATTTTTTTACAACATTATAATTGTACATGTTTATTTATGCAAATATATTTACGACTGTCCGATTACTGACTACTGATCAATTTCATTTCTGTCAATTACTTCTTAGTGCTTGTCGAACTCTATCCACCAATCTGCAATTTGATCACTAGTCTCAGTAACTCAACATTACGTGCATTATGTTGAGATGCAAGGTGGTGGTAAGAGGTCGTTGACCCTGTTGAAACCTTATCGAACTAAATGGTTTTATTCATGTTAAAAAATACATTTATAAAATAGTCTATGTATTTTTAATAAATCACTGTATATGTGGAAGATTCGAGCTCATTAAATGAAGTGAATTCCTCGCATTCTACAATTTTTAATTTCTTCGCTTTGTCGAATTGTTTTGAAGAAAGGTAACCTTATGTCGTACAATTTATCTTTGCAAAAAAGGAACCATATTGCTTATTTTACTTACCTACAATGTGAACAGGACTGTTTCTACTATATTGCTTACCAGAAATTCCAGGTAATATCTGATTAGTGCTCCAAGTTTATTTATAGTAGTTTGAAATCGAACATAATATTTACTTCGGCGCATCCTTACAGTGGAAGCATTATTATTTTAACATGGATTTAATCAGTGTTTTTTTAAAATAAATACGGATACATTTAATTACATTTTCTTGAACTGTGTAGACACAAGTAATTTACAGATAAACCAAGCTGATATATTTTTTTACCTTTGGTAGGTGTAATTCGTTTATTTTTACTTTATGGAAATCTTGTAGTTTTAACATAAGTACACAACAACTGTAAAATAAAACTTAACCATAGACACTAAATGCCTGTCTAGTCTAAGTTTGAACAGTAAACTGCAGACTGGTTTAAATTCGTAATTATAAGTGATTATTTCATCTGTAAGCCTAGTAATATGTAAACAAATATTCGTTTATACGAAGGTCTGTCTTAGTGATTTTACTAAAGCTAATATTCGATAAATTTCTACTACACCCTTACACTACTTTTAAAAGTGTACCTTTTAAAGCTTATACTCTGTATGCCTCTCCTAAAGATTAGCTTATCGGTATATATAAACAATCAAATAAAATTTAAATCACTAATCACTATTGATGATTTTAAATGTCTTTCATTTATTATTCCAAATGTAATCAGTTTTTTCTTCTATATCGGATGGGTTTATTGAAAAAAGCAGAAACTGAAAAAGACGTTGAAACCAATGAAGAGATTGACTCTATGCTGGAACGACGACGTAGTAGTGGTCAGTCGCACAATTCAACCAGTGGACAAGATACAAACACTACAAGTAAAAGACAGGCTTCAGGAACTGGTGATCAAAATGCTAATCCAAATACTACAAGGACACCGGATACTTCTTCTTCAGTTTCCTCATCAGTTATAAAAACAAGAATAGGATCAACTGGAAGTATGTCAACTGAATCTCGTAAAAGCGCTCAACTAAATGATTATAGCGGTTTGCTAACAACAAAATTGCCATCCAGTTCAAAGTTAACGAGTCAAAATGTAGACGACGGTAACGGGCCATTCCTACCAATTCATGGGGTTGAAACGCCTAATGATAATGAGTTGGAGGAAGTAAGTTCAAACAATTTGTGTGGCGAGATATTATCGTGTTAATTTTGAAACATGCAAACTAATCTTAAATTACCAATACTGAAAGCAAAGAGAGACAAAACTATTCAATTAGACAATATAGTTGTCTGACTAATCGAGATATGTGTGTATTCAGGAGACTAATTAGGTCCACTGGTGGAGGTGATCCTGAACATAAATGTCCAGCATTACAAAATATGGATAAGTTTAAGTATTCCATATTTTGATTCTTCACTTCGTTACACAAAGGGCATCTCTAAGTTATGTGAAACTCACATTCAAACTTGTGACAAAATACAATGTTTCGCCATCCAACAATCATCCGATCTTTAACGGTATTTAAAACTCAAAGTAACAGTTTGATAATTTAGATTTAGGAATGAAAGCATGATATATAAATTCATTTCTCATGAAAGTCAAACGGTTGTGCGAAAATATAGATTTGCTAAAAAATCATTCATGAAACATGTTATTCGCTAGTAATCATTTTGAATTGAAGTTCAACATGACATAATTTTTAGTTAATTTTCGAAGGATTTATTGGTGGATCCCAGTAGTTATGATTCTTCGGTCATACATTTTCTGTACTCCACTTCGGTACAGTCAGTGCCACTTGATTCTTCAGTAAATACATTTTACTAGGTACTATAAGGCTGTTGTTATGCTCAATGACTACCATTAATAATGGATGCATTCATCGTACAAACTGTATGTGTAAAGTTTTCTTACTTAAAATGTTTAGATATCAACTATCATTTCCTAATCCAACGTTCCTAGTTGAGTTTTATGTTTCATTTATTTTGAATATTTATACACGATAGCCAAGAGGCATTCTAACTGTCAATGTTGAATATTTCTTAGTTGTTGACATACGAAATATTTCTCAAATCAGCAGAAGCACTAATATGATCTTCATTATTCAATGTTTTTAATTTATAGAAAATCTCAGTGAGAATAAAGTCTCGTTGTATACGTACTTACCTGCCATCCATTTAGATCACTAGCTTTCGGTAACTGGTTTTTCATTGTAAACTGAATACATTTAGATGATAGATAGAAACTAAGAACTATTTCACAGGTATTTTGTTTGAGACTAGGACCCTGTAAAAGCAGACATTCTGCATCATTTACAACACTGAATATCCATGCGTTGGAAGGTTTCAATATTATTTCATTAAATTGGTATCAGATGGAAAATACTTTTTAAAATCAACTAATTTACAACGTGAACATCATCACTAGTCCTCTATGATTCACTATCTCATTTTTAATTCGTTGGCTTCCATATGAAACTTTTGATCTAATTAGCTTAGGACACACTAATCTTATCTCCATTTCTTGTTGGTACATCAGGCCTATCTTCGTTTCTATGATTTGATATATCCCTGGATGTCTTCAAACATCAGTCTTTTCGTTTGCTTCAATCTCAAACTTTTTACCGAAGATATAGAGGCAAACGATCTCCTCAAATTCAATTTATTAGCAATAATCCAAACAGTAAACTCACATGCGGATAACACAAAACATTGTACATTTTTGATGTTCTTATTAGTATAGTGGATCTTAGTCTTTCATTATGCTCTCAGTCTCCACAACCGGCAATCTATATAATTATCCTTGAATATTTCAAGAATCTGTTACTCATTTTCCTTAATCAAGTAACAAATCAAGTAACAAGCAAATAAAAAGGAGAAATCTATACTCATCCTATTTGACTTATTGACATATAATCAAAATAATTTGAACGAAAATTCATGTAACATAATGGAGGAAATTACGCAGATTTTGTAATTAGGTTATTTATCTATGTGTTACTCTGAAGAAGTGTTTTACGGATTGCATAGATTATTCACAAATAAACAAAGCCATAAAGAATTAAAAGTCAAGTATGTAGAATAGTCTTCATGATTCATGTAGGGAATACAAATTAAATCAACTGAATGTTATCAGTTAGAAACAAACCAAGTCTAAACAAAAGAAAATAATGATAGATTGTTATGAGATTAACATAATTGGAGTGTTTATTCTGATAATTATCTTTCTGGGTAGATTTATGTATGAACTCATATTAATTTCAGTAAGATGTAAATTTTTATGGCGAGTTCTCAGTTTCAATGTTTGTACACTAAATTTCTTGTTAGAACAAAAACAACATAATATAGTTCGTTTATAATTGACATTAACAGAGTTAGACATTGAAAACCAGGTGGCATTGGATAGCTGTTATGTCAGAGTATGGGATTATTCACTAGTCCACATCAAGATACCACTGTAGATTAAACCGAGGACCTTCATATTTTATGACGATTACTTAACACTTGAACCACTTAGTCAGGATCCGATGGTTTCTGTGTTTAACTTCATCAACTGGGAATATTGCGTAATTATCTTCCTTTATTATTGATGGGGTAACTTCCTCACATCTGACATACTTAAACACCACTGATCGGTACTTCTCACTAAAACCCAGAGAATTAGCTCTTGAAATTAGTAGTTAATGAACCCTTGAGTATTATTGTAGATATTGTTGGATGATCGTGGTCTTCACTCACAAATCACTATAGCATACATAATCATGTACTTCCTAGTGACTACGATAAGTAATTCTGTGAATTTTAGTCAGGAGACATGGCCAATAAAGTTCCAATATTGGTAGATGATTGCTCAATACCAAGAATTAAATGCTGCTAGACATGTAAACTAATAGATGCCCATTCTGTCAAGATTAAGAAGTTGCCGTAGGACCCAAAGATTTTGGGTTCGATTCCGAGTGAGATGGTATATACTTATGGCTGAGGAGTCCCTGACTAAGATAAACAGCTACTAAATGACTTCTGAGTTTTAATTTTTATCTAACTAATATTGGTTTGTGATGTAAACTATCAGATTGAAAAATCTCCGCAAGCACTATAAAACAGTCTAGTTTAGCATATTTGAAGTTTAATTTATCTTTGTACAAAATGTGCCATCTACGTATGTTTTGTATTACAAGCCAAATAAATTGTAAGCTTATTTTTTACTGATGAAAACTTTCGTCCAAATTAGAGTGAATAGTTTCACAGTATTTGGGCACCCAGTTGATGTAAGACATTAAATAGGAATAGTATATTTGTAAAATCTGAGCGAATGAATTTGAAGTAAATCCAATTCGCCTGGCAATCTAGTCCTAGCTTATTTTTTACCGACTTCATATCAATTATGTTGGCCACATTAATCCATTATTTCAATATTTCGTCTGTCGAAGTCCACTGATATTTTCATACTTGCTTCATTTTTACATCAAGCGTTAAGTTTACATATTTAAGTGTCTAAAAATATATAACTTACAGGAATATCCTTTTCACGGTGTCAAAATGAATTCTCTTGAGAATTTAAATTAAATGTTGAATCGGTAAGGCCGGTTAACTTTCTGACAATCTACCTTTTGTTAACACTTTCTTGGTGTTGGTCGGAAATAAAATAGATTGATGGTGGTTCTCTCACAAGTTTTGATCGTGATGATATTGGATAAGTAGACTTCAAATTAGAGACTGGTAACTAAAAGTTGTCAAACCTTTGTTAATCATATCTAATCCTAAGCCAAATGTTAACTGTCAAATTATATATTTCGTATGATGTAACTGACATTTATCTGACCTAGTTTAAGGAATTTAACATCATTGTAAAATGAGTTGTCTAGTCAAGGGAGAACAAAGTAACAAGTATAAAACATTCCATTTTGAAAAGTATAAATCCAAAAACAAAAAAGCAACTAAACATCATGTTTTAGTAATTGTTTAAAATGGTAATTTTTGAATGTTTTTTTAATAATAGTTGGTGAGAATAAAGAAACAGTTCAATGTCTAATTCTGTTATCAAATTATCTTAAATCAATGAAACGGTTTTTCACATTAAAATAATTAGCAATGGAAAAAGTTAATCATGGATAATAAAAAAAACGATTTTTCTGTTTTTTCATAAATCTAGTTCATTTTAGATATTTGTTAATAAATCGACTAAACTTCAGTCCATGTGAGATTCTAGAAATTTAGGTAATTGAAATGTAGTAAGTAATGTTAACTGATGTGTAACTTGGTGATGCACAATTAAAAATTTCACTAAGAACTGATCATAGTTGGAAAAGTATTGAAAATCAGGTGGCATCGGCTAGTTATTTAGTTCGAGTTTAGGATACTGGAACAATGTGCGACTCAATAGATCATAAATTGTTTAACATTCATAATGTATATTGTTTGATTCTGCCTTACTAAATTTGGTTGCGAGGTGTGTTTATGTGAATAACAATTAAGAATGTTGAATACTGGAAAAATTCAATTTAGGAAGAAGTATCCGTCTACTGTTCTCTTTTACTAATTGGTTATTTAGCTGTAAATAATCAAAACTACTTTGGTCAAAATATATTGCCGTTTCCCAGCAGCTGAGACTAGTACACGCCGCGCAACCTATGGATATCAGTGAGCTTGCAAAGGTGACGCGACAGTTGATGACACGAGCAGTAGCTCCGGTCGCGTGCGTAAGTCAGGAGATAAATAGCATCGAGAAGAAGATTGAAGAACTGCAGCACGAGATTGCGGCATTGCGAGTGAGTCGTAAAGGGAATGATAGGTGTTACGCATGTGGAGGGACAAGACACTGGAAGATGAACTGTCCAACACGACGAAAACGGAGATATTTTAGACGTTACGTGTTTCCTTCTTACTCTAGGGATATGGGGGTTGTTGCATTGGTAGATAGAGGGGCAGTCTATACAAGAGTGAATATAAATGAACTAGATTTAGTGTGCCTAATCGATACAGGGGCAGAGGTTTTGGAGATTTAATTCACAGTTGAATCTATAAACTCGATAATTTTAATGTATACAACTTGAGATTTTAGTGACATTTCAGTAATTAATATTTGCCTCGTGTTTACGATGAGACCGTAATTTGTGTACGACCTTTGAGTGACACCAAAGTGTCCTTGGGAAAATTCACCTACCTACTAGGGTCTTAAGAGAACCATACATTAGTATGAAAGAATCAATTAAAATTTGATGTTAGAAGTTAGGGTTAGGAATTGGATTAAAGGTTTTCATTACGGACTGACATTAGCTATTATACCAAAATATTATTTAGCCTTATGGATGAAATTATTTTTCGCCAAAATCTAAGACTCGATACAATAAATTTAATTAGTTCATCCATGAATTACTGTTTCTCAATTTTTATTCCATTATACTTTAATCAAAATGTTCACATTATTGCCCTTTTTTTGATTATAGAGATTCTCACTGTGTTTGGACGAATGGGGTGTAGATATCTTTGAAATTGATCGACTTTCTAATGGACATGCTCTTACAACAGTTGCCTATAGAATATTTCAGGTATTGTTTAAAAAACGTATTTTCTTCATATTTCAAACAATTTAACTTTGTAAACAGAATATACCCATTGAAATATAAAAAAAGGAATAGTGGTTCTATGAAGATTTAACCTTTCGGCGAATACATTTCCAAAGCTGTACAATCGCAAATATATGCTTATATTCCAAAATGATAATAATGACAACAAGTGGTAATGAAATTCCGCTAGACATGGTGACAGTGAGGTGGAATAAATAAAGGCATAAAAACTTTTTTTACCAAGGAAACTAATAATAATTTCTTTGCCGAGTGCTTAAATATTGATCATAGAGACAAATAAGGAAATTCTTGTTGAGAAGGGAAGGCTCAGTGTGGTAAGATGATGTTGAAATCAAGATGAATTATAATCAGGAAGTTTATAGAAACAGAAACAGATCAGTTTGGGGTCAAAGGTCTATTGAGACGACAGAAGGGGAGCACATGTCTGTGAAAGTAAAAAAAAAGTATGAAGAAGAATGAGAAGATTACGAGGGATTCATACCATGGTAGAAAAGGTTGTACCAGTTCCTTATGGACACATAATTCTGGTTTTTCCGAATATATAGCTAGTGTTTCTGCAAAGATAAGTAGATAAAATATAACTGCCTTTGGAAGCTTTCTATCCACTTTATGGATGACTTTAAACGCAGAATCCGTTTTGATTAAATGATCTGTTTTCAGAAGGTATTCGATTGTTGAGCTTGTTATTGTTCCGTTTCCACCTTCTTTCAGTCAGGCTGGGTAACTTTTCTTGAATTTTTTTTAGATAAAATACCTATCAAACGACAAATATACCAAGCTCCACATGAGCAGACAAATTAGTCAAAAATGTTCAGTTTTGAATAGATATGCAAACTTATTGATCATCAAACATTGAAAGACCTTGGATAATAGTTCATAAATATCAGTTTAAGCTTTACTCACCAAATCAACCAATGGAGAAGAAAGTTATTCAGATAAAAATAAAATAACATTAATGGGGGGGAAATAACATAAATTATTAATAATATAGCTTATAGGTTTATCAGAAACTATTAGCTTGACGTAAGCATTACTTGATGGATAATTTCATCATTTGAACAGGATAATAAATGAATCTCTTAAAATTCCTATTGATGCCAACATAAAACTGAAATATTTCTGAGCCATTAAATTGTAGTGTGTCATGTTTTTTTATGTCATATCATTTACCGATATTTATACTGCTCATAAGAACATGGGAATTCAATAGTTATATATATTTTAAAGGCTAACAAATGTGTTTAACGAAGAATCATGTGTATATGGATCTTACGTCGACAAATATCGAGTCATTGGTACGTAACATTTACCAATGATACCAACATTAACTTAACTATCATTATTATCAATGTCAGCTATGTCAATGAAATGGGTGCAATTTTGAACAGCTTTTCGTTAGTTTTTTGCCTGTAACTATATAGAATCATTTGGTTAATCATACGAAATGTATAACCTAACACATTTCTACATCTATCAAAGCTATTGTACTACACAAACACGACTAGCTGGAATTGTCAGGATGATTTGTAATTAGTAGAACCAGAAACAGTGTTGGAGATAGTAAAAAAATTTAGGTGTGGAAAATATTATTTAAGAAGTATACATAAATTCACAAAATAAAAAAAGGTAGTAGATAAATTTGAAACTTAGATTCTAAAGGATGACCAACAGTAGATACATTTATGCTAATTTGAGCGATTCTCAGCTATATTGTATGGAACCACTGATCATAGTTATCACAAGTACAGTAACGCGTTAGCCTGGATCTACCAATACAGCCTGAGTCAACAGACAACGACCTCATGAACTCGTTTCATGTTCTGGTTTGGATACCCCTAAAGTTCTCACAACCTACCCCAATACTAATCAACACCACCTCAGTCGGTCAAGATTTACAGTCCTGTCCTTTTTGTCTATCATCCAGAGTTCAGCCTAAATACTGCTCATTATGAGGTCCTAATATAAGAAATCACTGTTTCGAGGCGATCTATGATCTCACACAAATAAACTGTGAATTTACTCTGTTTTTGAAATACCTTAAGTTATTGACTATAAACTTTCATCTGTCACTTTAAACTTAATTTAGACTTACTGAAGTTTATGCATTAAAGCTCCTTTTTAGACAGATAAATTGACCACTAAAAGGGAGCGATTTACATATTAAACAATTCAAATTGTGAAATGTTTCCATTGTTATTGACCAAGGAAATTCATTTATTGTTGCACGTTGTGATGTTAGTACTTACTTAAGAGTATTGAATTAAAAAAAATGTTTTCAGTTCGTTGATTCGTTTAAATTCATATATAAAGAGATTGTACCAACATGAACAATGGATTGTATCAATTTTGTTTCGAGGACGTCAATTGGGAAGAATAAATGAATGACAATACATATTAGATAATACTAGTTCTAAAAATTTTTGATTATACTACTGTGAGGAGAAGTTAGTTAAAGCATTTAAATGGAAGATAAGTTGAAGTATTAAGTTGTCGAGTTTTGTGGTTGCAAATAAAATATCTGTATATGTGTGTATGTGTATCAACTATCCTAACTAACATTTGTTTTGTTATCAATATAATGAAGATTGATATTGTATTTGTTTCATACAACATAACAATCAAAGCAGAACTGTCATATCATACATAGTCAATCATTAAAAGAATGGAGTAAGAGGAAGTATATTATGAAAACATTGGTCGGCATCTTTGTTTATTCGTTTCAGTATCGATTTTTGATTTCCTTTTGTTTGATTCATTCAATCACCTATGAAATTGTTCCCATATCATGCTTTCGACTGTTTTTATCAGTTAGTTCATTATCATAGAAATGTTGATGGATAAATCATTGTTGACTGAGAAAATCACGCTAATTAATGATGACATTTTGTCAACCTCTTCACAAAATGTTTAACATTGGCTTATATTGAGTTTTTTTCTGAATTAATGTTAATGATAAAATGAAAAATTACTAATAAGGTTTTTCAAATCAACATTTTCAAAATTACTTTATTGTTATGAACTGATTGATAATTTAAGATTTTAGAATCCTACAACAAGTTGTTTGGCTTACAAATATGCCATGAACTGACATTAGACAATTAGAGGTAGTTAACAGGACCCCTCTTGCTCAAATTTAGTGCTAATGGTATTTGTTTATTGAGGAATTCAAATCGCTATACCTTTTGAGTTTCAACAAGCATGAAACCTAGTTACAGCTTTCCAGATCGACTTCATCCAACTACTTTCAATCAAAATATAGTTCATGCGTCGTTGATCTACATAGACTGATTGTCAAACTGCAACTTAATCGATAGAATTCACCAACACTAGACATATGTCATTTCGTTAACGACATATATCTGCACTCTTAACTCATCAGATATTTTCAGGAAGATATGGACCAGTATTATGTAGTTTTACAATCAAAGGCATTATTCATGGGCTGCTTAACCATCAGTGAACTCTTGTAGGATTGATATATCCATTCTAACTGCTCAATGAGTAGTAGGCAACGTCAGGTGTGTCAATAACTCTGCACCGAGCGAACCCTATCGATCACGTTGTAACAGTAATTTTTTAATGAACCAAATTTACATACATCTTGAATTCTATCTTATTATTATGAAAATTCTATTTATATTTTACTTTACAGAAACGTGATCTACTCAAAACATTTTGTATTGATCCTCATATTTTTGTACGTTATCTGTTAAGAGTTGAATCAACTTACCATGCTGATGTTCCTTATCATAACTCAATGCATGCAGCCGATGTTCTTCAAACGGCACATTTTTTGCTACAGGCAGAAGCATTGGACGTAAGTCCTATAAATCGGTTTAGCATATAAATATCCGTTTAGAAATTGAAACCAATGTTTATAATTAGATTAAAAGTTAAGACATGTGTATTTGGGTGAAAACAAAGTAACTTTTGGGATCCAAAGGTACTTTTTACTGAAAATTAACCTAATTAAAAGCCTATGAAATCGTAAAGTACATCAAGCTAGCAAATGAGTCAAAAACCTACCTAATTAAAATAAATTATCTTGAATTGTCTTTGTGGTTAAAACTTTGATCATGATTTGAAATGATGATATTTAAAATTTGAATTGACGGGTACTAATAGTTTGAGTGTGCGTTAGTTACTTGCGGTTTTGATGAAAATTAATAGGTAATCTAAGATATCATGAGCTCAAAAGAATATGCGGAACATCTGAGGTTTCATCTTGAGTTCGCTTGCAAAGAAAAGATTTATTTTTAAAATCACATTCATAGATTAGTCCTTGAGAGTTAAACTTAAAGTTCAATTCTCTGTTGAATAATTAAAAGCCACATAAAGTATCTGGATCATTAGTAAGAGATTTTTTATCCTGATTTAATAGTTAAAACTGAAATTAGACCAGGCTTTGTCAAAATATTTGCACACTGAGGGGGTACCATCGGTGTAGCCATTTAGTATCAAATCTTAGGATATATATAGACTAAGACTTGCATTAGAGTTCAGGAATATAACTTTGTCAAAATGGGAATTTATCATTCAATTAGTGGCCGTCTGGACTCTGTCACTCAAAGTTATTTAAAGCAAAAGGTGCGAAGTTTGTTTCATGGTGTAAACACCATGATTGGGATGTGGGTACATCCGAGTGACTAGTCTCATATAGAATGAAAGGCGTATCCTGCTTTCACCATTAGCCACAATCGGTATATATTTTGCACTAAGTATATATCTATATGTTTGAGCCATAGTCAATAAATACATTGTATTAGACTTATTTTTACTAGGCAAGTTAACCCACTGTGTGAAACACTGAAGTTTGCTTTAAAGTATCAATTCTTTTCGGTCTTCCCACTAATCATGATAAGAAATTGACAATGAAACTTACAAAATTGATTTATTTGACGAAGAAATGAAAAAGAAATTGCGAAAATCAGAAGTTTTTTATTTCGCTTGAATTTCTGTTCTAAAATAAAATTCTCATAGACGTTTTTGCCAACAATAAATAATACCATGTTTCATCAACTAAAAGAAACTTATGAATGAGTTGAATCATATTTACTGTAATATTTTAGACCAAGCACTGACTTATTTCAATGATACAAACATACAGTTAATTACTTTCAGTCAGATTGCTATAAAAGACATCCCTTAATTCTGATCAGTAGTATTGTTATTCACATTGGTCTTTCGACATGCTCGTAGGCCCAGACTCTGTGGATGAACATCATAACAGAAAGGCTCGGTCTTTTTCATCAGTAGGGCTTCAGAATTTCATTCAATCAGATGTCCGATATTTTTCTTCACTGGTATCAAGATAGATCTTAATAACGTAAAGTTTATTGTTGATCATTTAAGCCACATTCATGAACAGGACAGGACGGAATTGATTTTTCTAATAACTCAAAAGTATATTTGATCCACTGCGGTAGTGTATTATTATATCTGAATGAAACACCAATCAAAGTGGATTTTAAATTTTGCGGTAAAGTTATCACTTTCAAGTCGTTTTCATTAAAAATAAGTAGACGTGTTTCTTTTATAAATTACTTTTTGAAAACCATTTGAATACTATACAGAATTTGTGTTCTTTGTTCACAAAACTTCAGATTTAGTATCGTAGGATTCAACGGTGGTAATTGTTATTTTCAGTCCCGCCAAACTGATAATACGGTTGACGACAGAGGTTTGTGTTCAGAAACACAAACAATCATCAGTAATTAGTTAATAAACTGGAATGCGCTAAGGATTATTAAGGTAAATAGGACTAACCATAAAAGATATACTCAGTGTATCAACATCTGACAAAACGTTCAGTGAGATTGAGTTTCTAAGGTTCTTAATAGATTCAATGACTGCTTTTATTTATTGATTTCTCTCTAAGAAAACCATCTTGTGTAACACAAAAACATTCTATTTTAGAGCTTACTGTCTAAATAATCATCATGTTCAATAACTATTTACATCGTTTCTTCATTCATTTATTTAGGATGTTTTCAGCGATTTGGAAATTTTAGCTGTTTTGTTTGCCGCAGCTATACATGACGTAGATCATCCTGGAGTAACTAATCAATTTCTAATCAATACTGGTAAGCGGTAAAAGTTAGAAGTTAATGAATAATTGTATCAAAATTTGAGGACTTGATTTATGATAAAATCTTCCATTGAGTCGAGGAAGAATGTCTCTTCTCACTCTTTTTTCGGCGAGACTAAAGAACATGGACGAGCCAGTCAGAAGCTTTCGCGGGTTTTCAAGGTCACGGCGCTAAGTTCGGTACCTGACGCTTACGTACGGTCGGTTTATAACGGATTTTAGAGAAAACATGATAATTAAGCGTCTACAAGATAAGTTATCATAAGATTTTGGCGCAAAATTCAATTATACATTTGGATAGAGTTGTGGCATTATAGCTGATGTCAGTTCGTGATAAAAACCTTAAGTATAATTCCTAACCTTAACCATGAACTGTAAATTATAACCCTTATTTAGTCTTAGTTATTACGTTGACACTCTCAGATTCACTCTAGCGTTGCTCAAATGCCATCCATAATCTATAGTCTCATCTTTAACCCTAAACCGTAACCATAAACCTTAACCCTAATCCTAAACCCTAAACCATACCAACATACCGACAACACTGAAACTATGTGGTCGAGGCTGAAAGAATTTTCGGGACTTTATCATGGTTCCAGAGGTCGACTACTATGGAGCCACAGGGATGAGTTCCTATGCCGGATGCACTATGATTTTAGAACTTTTGAACCTATATCTGACCTTGATAAGTTTTTGATTCATGTAAAAGAACAGTATCCCCTTTAATTTTTGAGTTTTGTATAATATAATATCATATGCTCACTAGTGACTGACTTCAAGAGATATTTCCTTGAGTTCTAGTGGGAAGCAGTGGCCAGTGGAGTTCTACCAGGTCTGTTGTAGAGATATCATCTCACTGAAAACAATTGGTGAACGGTCGCTCAATATCGTGGATTGGTTGAAGTTAGACATTAACACCGTTGGATGCCAGCTCAGTGGTCTATCGGTTAAGGGCTTCGGCTCGAGACTGGTAGGTCCTGGGTTCGAATCTCGCTCGCGAGAGCGGGTTCGTGGATGCGCACTGCTGAGGAGTCCCATAATAGGACGTAACGGCCGTCCAGTGCTTCCAGGTTTTCGATGGTGGTCTAGCTTCAATTGACTCATGATTTCAACTGTGAAAATACTAAATTCTCCACAAAACCCCCTCTGATCTATAATATATTTTTACTGTATGATAACTGTCTTCTGATTGGCTAATATTTCTCAAGGTCATTTAAGATTCGTTCAAAGGTCGTCCATGTTCTTTAGTCTCGCCATATTTTTTTACTGGCAAATAAATTATCATTATAACTATCGTTACTTTGTTTAGATAAATGAACAACATCAAGAAATAATGGACTTTACAAAAAATCACAAAATAACCATTCAGCATAATTAAATATTCTATAAGATCAAATGAATAAAGGAGCATGGTCTAACTTTGAATCACAACACCTAGGTGGCTACTTTCTTGCTAAAAAAAAGAGAACACTTCATGTTGGTAATAATACCTATCATAATTAGAAACTTAAATCATTCCCGAAAGAATTATGTGCATTGGTTAAAAATATAAAGCCTATAAGACTATTATTATTGTTACTATTATCACTAGTATGCTTCTATAAGGACTTGACTTCTTACTTAGATTAACTTAGACTTGTTTACAAAGGTTTATAGATACCAACATCAAATAAGATTTTTATAAGATTTGAAGCACACCCTGAATGTATAAACAATACCTGACTACTTTAATTCTCACCATCATGAATTGTTTGCTCGAGATAATTAGCCATTTGCTACTAACTGTAAACATTTTGCTTGATAACAACTATAAATTAATTTTCTTTTTGTTGCTATTCCTGTTCGCACATATCTGATGTTCCAATTAAAAATTACAATGCCATGTAGTGATTTATTTGAGTTTATAATTGATTGATCACTGAATAATGACCAATGTTATGTCTGTCAGGTATTTTAGTAAAAATCGAATCTTATCTGTTCAGTTGAGCTATGCTCACTAGTTTCAGTGACTCGACATCATATTCATTATATTTTGTCCTAAGATGATTGGAGTGTGTGTGCATGGGAAACTAGGGATATAGGTTTTGTGTTGGTCGGGACTCTTCAACAAGACATGTCTTACACTCTTAAGAGAACTGATGCTCCTAATCAGATTTGAACACAGAGATATTCTGACAAGAATTCAGATGAGTCTTGCTTGTGAGCTCCAAGATCAGAGACGCCTCTCTGCTGCCTCCTACTAACGAACATCTCAGTATAGTTAAGTAGTAGATGGGTGAAATTTATCGATGAATTTCCTTTTGAGCAGTGCAAGGAGAAAGGTGTGAAAAATTATTTATCAATGCGTCGGCTGGTGAGAATACTAAATTTAGATCACAGTCACTTTAATGTTATTTGGATGATGGTAGAAGTACAGTCTAGACTGGCTGTAGTCCGAAATGGGATCTATTCTATGCGTTAAAAGTTATTCACTTGAATAGAGATTTGAAGTTACTGAGTCGATATTTCAACAAAGCTATGTGTGTATACTCTTGGGTCACGGTGCCTGATTTTTAATTTAAACCAACTATAACTAATCCATGAAGGATAAAAATTTCATTTTACCCGGAAGTGTTTGTATACAGTTGGAGAAGATTGCTGATTATCTTAGGCAATCGAAAAGACTGTAACATTTTAACAAATGAATTAACGAGTCAATTTAAGCTAGACATTCACTGAAGACCTGGGAGCACTAGATGACTGTTTTGTCTTGGAATAAGGTTCCTCAGAAGTGCGCATCCACGACCAAACATGCGAACGCTTAATATCTAAACCACTGTGCTGGCATTTAACGTTGTTAAGGTTTGCGCAAGATCTTGGGTCTATTGAAGTCAGACGTTAAAAGTGTTATATGCTTGCTCAATGGTTTAGAGATCAAGCGTTCGCGTACAAAACAGAAGATTCTGGGTTGGAGCTCCACGTGCTAGATCTTAAATGCGCACTACTGAGGAGTTACGTTATGGGACGAAAATGCCATCCAGTGCTTCCAGGTTTTCAATAGTAGTTTAGCTTAGATTCGCTTGTGAATTCAATTGCTAAAATGTACGGTACTTAAATCTATACTATCACCAGTATGTGATTCCCGTGACTAACATTCTTGTTGGATACCGGCTCAGTGTTTTAGTGGTCGCGCGCTCGTGCGCGAAACTGATAGGTCCTGCGTTTGAATCTCGCGAGGCGGGATCGTGGATGCGCACTGCTGAGGAGTCCTACAATAGGACGAGACGGCCGTCCAGTGTTTCCAGGTTTCCCATGGTGGTATAGCTTCAATTGACTCATGATCTCAACCATTAAAATTACTATAATATCCACAAAACCCCCTTCTGATTCTTGTATCAGTATATTTTCGAATAATGTAGTACAACAAGAACGACAGGAATTACTTTTGTTCCTTCCTAAATATTATTCTAGTGTTTATGATCACTCAAAAAAGTCAACTAAAACTTTCTTTAAAATGAAATATGATTTTCCTGAAAATGATATCGGTGAATATTTAAAACGTTATAAATGATTAAAAAACTAGTCTTTTGGTGGTGTAAAACTCTTTTTTTTCGATTGATGATGGATAGTACATTTGGTTTTCAGCATCCACTTTTCGTTTGAGCTTTACTCTTTACAACAAAACTGATAATTTCGGCTTTTGAAGTGCATAAATCTGTGATGTAATCAGCACATTTCATTTATTTAGGACAAAATTTAGTAAAAAACTTAAGACTGAAATTTCATTTTTACTTTGGTATATGTTGAACTGTTTAGTTTCACCGACGTATGTAAATGTTTTATTTAGTATTATTTATGCACTGTAATGTTCAAATGCTGTCTCTATATATTATCAGAATTTTTGAATTAGATACTCTTTCATTGACCAGGAAAGTAGTGTTCTGACTATTTGACTATGTGGTATGGTTGTATAAGACATAAATGTACATTGGAGTATGTAAGTTAGGCTAGACTGTAATTTATGAACGAACCAGTAAGATAACAGGTCTTGGATTTTGGCGCGAAGTTCATTCGTCCATTGACTTAATAGTGCTTTGGAATTTTAGCTGATATCGGTTCGTGATGGTAACCCTAGATCTAGTTCGTAACCCTAACCATCAAATGTACATTTTAATTCTGATTCCTCACACTGGTTTATAATCCCCAATTAGTCCTAGTTTGTAAGTGAACATTCTCAAGGTCACTGTAGCATCGCTCAAAGGTCGTCCATGAATATAGTTTCACCGTGAGTTATTTAGTCAATCTGTTGGATTTATTTATTTGACAAAAGTTTAGCTAATACTCATAATCATTTGTTATATTAGACAGAAATAAGTAAAAAGACACAAACAAGTGAATAAAAGGGAGAAGAAATACGATTTCATTGATTTTTACCAATTGATTTTCTCTTTTTCTTTTATTCTTTTCAAATAGTTTGTTTTACTTTCGTTACCATGGGTTCCTTGGCGTTAACATAAATCAACTTAATATATATTTTAAATAAAATACACAATTATTCATATGTACATTAGTAAATAATGTCATGAAAGGTTTGGTGAAGTATGGAACATTTTATAGAGTTCATTAAGTGACGAGATGTGATTCTGTTAATTCGTTATTAGGAAATTATTTGATCTAATTAATTTGTCTATTTAAGTATGTTTGAATATAATGTCGTTCAGTATTATACTTCGATAAATGAACAGGCGCTTAACTAACACGTATGGTTTATATATATATATATATATATATATATATCTTACATGTTGGTAAATGGTTAGTTACCTTAAATATACTATTGAATTAAAATGAATGTAATTCCCAAAAGTCATAATCCAATGGTTGACCTGACTTAATTTGTTAATATTTTGGGTGGTAATTTAAAATGTTCAGTGAAACCAATTCTTACCAGATAAATTGGATTTCATTCCGTCGGTGGATTTCAAATTATTCAAACATTATAAATAAAACATTTCAGTGCCAAAATCTAGGAGCACTGGCTAGGTGTTTTGTTATAATATATTGTCATGATGTCATTCAATATTTTAAATCGCTCAAAGGTAATATGAAGATTACTGGATATCAAACCAAAGTTCCAGGGTTTGATATCAAGTAATTTTTACTGCTGAGTGGCTACAATCTCAGTGTTTCCTGATTTTTAGTGTTTCCATAATTAGCATTAATAAATAACGAAATACCATATCAACTTCTAATTATTTACACAGTATTTAACCACAGATTCTCTATTAATATAAATGAGTTGTGACTAACGGTGGGATTCATGTTGAAACTCGTCTTCTGGATGTACCTGGGACCTGGAGGTGAAGACCACATTGGGACTGGAACAGATTTCTCTTATTTTCACTCACGCAACGTGATAACCATTTTAAAGATTAACAATAGTTACTTCATTATACTATGAAAATATTCATGATCATTAAGATATTTTTAGACAAATCCCAATACGTAGAAAATTGTATTTCTGACGTTTCGTGACCTAATGTCAGCCACTGCTCTAGAGTAAATAAATAACCGAAATTATTAACGTTCTAGCTAATACTCAAGTCCAACCTTGGCATCGATACCTACAAGTTCATAATGGTTGATCTCTAATTATTAACAAGTATATATTTGATAATAGATAATTGGCAGGAGTCATTTGCCTCTGGTTTCATGCTAATTAGTTCTCTTCAGTAAGGTGTATCTAGGATCATGAAGAAACAGGAAGTGTCTTAGAGATTCTAGCTCTTTATTATTTAGTATCACTGAAAAAATCTCTAATACATGGATATTCGGATCAAGAAAGACACATCTCCTTCATAGCTGAGATGTTCACACCGACTGATTACATAGTGGTAGTTGATATCCTAGTTGCCTAGTATTTATCCCTACTTGAATGCTATGAGTCCAGCTTTAGGATAATCACTGGTCTAGGTAACCTGACACTGAGGTGGACACTTGTTACCACATAGTGATCAGACACAGCAAATATCTTTGTCCTACAGAGTGTCAGACACATTTCAGATAACAGATCGATAACCACTCAGACTACAGCACTGTGTAGTTGACACCTGTAGATGGAATTATTTCTATCATCAATACAAGTGTCCTTTGCTGACTAAAGTCATTTATCGACATCTGGGTGCAAGTCTTCTTGGTAATTTTCCATGATCAACTAATTAAGAGTATTCTTCAGTGTATGTGCTATGCTTTTTTGTTTCCAGGTTAGACTTCTTTTATTATTCTGTAGTTGCGTATTTCTGATTATCGCTTTACAAGCTTCGGTATTAACATGTAGGTTAATAATCTTATTCTCATTTGAATTTTCATCAGCCTTTACTCTGATAGATGTCTTATAAATTGAGTAAAATCAATCTATCCAAAAGACCGTACAAAGAAGGTCAATGATTACATGAGAAAATTAAGGTCCTCCGTTCTATTCTCGGATATGGGATCATGAGTTGCACATTGCTGTGGATTTTAAACATTGGTTCAACCAGTCATTATTTTTACCACAACTGCTGGTATGCCTGTCATTTTACTATCAATTTGTAATCTTTACTTATTACGTTAAGTTATGTATTCTATTTAATTGTTGTCACCGTAGCATAGACTGCTTAAATAAGCTTAATATTTTTCGAATATGCACGTAAGTATATTGCTGTATTGTAAAGTAAAGCCTAATGAGGATCTAATTAGGTACTATATTGTTCGTTTATGTGCATTATACTATTTTACACAATAGGGATGTTTATAAAATTGGAGTATTATTACACTACAAAACAGTTCACTAACATATAATGATAAGATTTATTATTATATTCAAAATAAAAAACGATTGTCATATGCACAAATTTCTTAATCTTCATTTTCTTAATATTTTTACCTAAAATCTATTATAAAGGTCATGAATTAGCCTTACAATATAATGATGCATCCGTACTGGAAAACCATCATCTTTATATGGCATTTAAAATTTTAACTGAAAAAGACTGTGATATATTTGCTAATTTAGGTGGAAAAAAACGTCAAACATTACGTAGAATGGTTATAGAATTGGTACGTTTGATTTTTAATGATATTTATATATTCTGTGATATATGTATATACAAACGTCACTAAATACAAAAACTGCATAGTGAAACTATATCATTAGATATACAATTCTTTCGAAATGTGACATATCTATGAATGTGTCTCTAGATGTTCTATTACTAATGACGTTTAATGAACGAAATAAACCTCTTGCTACATGTAAAAGGTAATTAATCGTTTTGTTTAAGCTTAAAGGTACACATGCGAATAGATGGGTGGTAAGCTGTAATATTAAACCAGGAACAATTGAAAGAAAACCCAAAACAAACTGATTGATTATATGAATAATTCATACATAATGATGTGAAAACATTTGTTGCGTAGATCATCTTATGAAAACAAAACTTTGCTTTGGTTTCTAAGGGTTTAAATTAAATAAAATTACAAAAATGATTTGACAACATGAGTTCCATGAGTTCGTCTTAGTTATCAATGAACAAGTAATCCTTATCATTTATATTATGAACTTATGCCCGTTAAAAATCAAAGGAAAAACCTCGATTATACGGCTATTCATGATTACGAATTATTTAATAGGGGATTGACTAATACATCACAAAACAACCAAGGATTTAAATTATTATCGCTTATGCCTTCCTACTTCATTTTATGAAATACGTAGCCCAGTTGCAATACTATTGTTATATCTTGTAAGTTGAACGCCTTATTCGGATCCTAGCTATTCGAATAACCCCAGGCTAGCACTACTCAGCGACTTGGAAGATCAGAGAGAAGACACGAGTATCAGAGAAACACTTTACTACAAGGTTCATTTATGTACAGAAAAAACAGGGGTTTTATAGTAATTAAAAAGACCTTGAGATTCCACAGTAGCAATATGTTTAACAGCCAATCAGGACCTCATTATTTTAGTAGCATAGCTTCTAACTAATCGCTGATTGGTTGGGCTCTTTATGAGCCTCTCTGGAGGCTCTGATAGAGTTTATTGTAAGCCGACCTAACAACTTTGTCATCTGATAACACTTTTTCTTTATGGTGACTGATTTTTTAATAATCATTTACTAATTGCTGTCTATGTGGTATTTATGCTGTTATTTTACGTGGCTGTAAACTGTAGGGCAATAGGTTTAGATACGCAGACCAATGGTAATCAGTGATACCAGAAGATAGTTAAATGAAATTTGGAAATGTAAACTTGAGGATTTCAAACTAGTATTCACCAATTTTTGCCTATTTACATAACTCAAAGTTGATTGGGATTAAAACCGGAAAATGACACTTAGTTTTAAAAGTTGCAAAATTATGTACTGAGATTTATTTTATCTGATCTTAGCTAATACACTCAAAAATAAATGTACAATTAGATTCATTGTTGATAGCTTTTAACATAGATTAGAACTTGAACGTGGCTGAATTAAGGTTTATAAAAGGTTTAAGAGATTGCTCGACTTTGAAATCTTATGTCAGATATTGACCATGGTGTTCAACCATGTCCGGCGTCAGATGAATATCACTAATGAAAGTAACATACATTCTCACAATATAGCGTAAGAACTGACGTTTGAAATGTAACCGACACATCGATGTAAATGTCGAGCTAAAGTCTGGATTTGATACCCAATGCAATCGTTGAGCCCTACTGCGAAGACGTACAAAACTAGGACGAAACAAACACCCAAGACTTCCTAGTTTTAACTGGATGTTTAATTAAATTGTGTTAATAATGTAAAACTGCAGGAATAAAGGTTTCCGTTGGACTTTGTTCATTGTTATCAATTTGTTTAAATATTTTTTGTATAATTATTTTACGTATACAGGTGTTAGCAACAGATATGTCTAAGCATATGAGTTTATTAGCTGATTTAAGAACAATGGTTGAAACTAAAAAAGTTTCTGGATCCGGTATGTTGAATTTGGACAATTATGCTGATCGTATACAGGTATGCGATTGTTGAAATTGAATAATTAGATTGTGTGATGATTGAAAAGTTACTGAGAAACAGTATAGTATGAAATACAATTTATCATTACCCGTTTGATGCGAATATGAAATGAAAAATAAAAGTTGAAGGTAGTAATAACAACTGGCCAAAAAGTCTAAGATCCAGATTAAATTAGAGATAAATATTCTAATAGTTGAATTCATGAGTGGATCTAAGCTGGACCACTATTATAAAATTGGAAGTACTGCAGGCTCATTTCATCCTAATATGGAACTATTCAGCAGTAGGCATCCACGATCCCTCACGTGGGACTCGAAACCAGGATGTTTGGTTTCGCTCATGAATGCTTAAACGTAATGAACTCTATTGACCACGACTCCTCACAAAAACTTCAAGAAATTCATCTTGAAACCAGTCACTTGTGGATACATGATTATTATTATTATTAGAATGTGAGTTTGTGAAGATTGTAGGTTTCAATTCCCGCACGATTTATATTGGATCTGCGTTTTGAGGAGAATATTACCAAGACTAAACGGCTGTTCAGTGCTCCCAGGTTTTCAATGGTGTTCTAATTTAGATTGATTCATGAATTAAAATTACTATAATCTCCATAAACCCTCATTCAGTTATATATTTATCGAAGTAAAATTTGTTTTCACTATCAATCTATTCAATTTCCTCCTGATTACTGACACTTTACTACTAAGTGATTTATCTTGGAAAATTGACAGGTATTTGTGTCAGAAACTTTTTACATAATTTTGAAATTCTTAATACATTATAGAGCTAGAAATTTTGAAAATAGAATATTTTCCAATTGTTTATAACATCTCAGCATGTTCATTTTTTAAAATTAATATTTGTATATCACCATATTACTTTATTAATTGAAAAGCCTTATTATTCTGGTTAGTGATCTTGTCTTTGAACATAAACAATTCGGGAGGCTTAAGTCAATAATTCGGTTAGATGAGCAACCATCATTCGACCATGTTGTATTGTTGAGTTTAACAATTCATCAATACCATACCCATTAATTTATCAACTCATTAATACTCCTCCATAACAAAGTTACAATCAATATTTTAACTAAAGAACTATTTACAAAGGTAGTAACAAATTTATTGAGATTAAAATCCAACAGTCATTAACATTTTTATAGATAATCGCTACATTAGATAACTTGTGAACATAATAATTCATCAATTTTAGTTGCTTACTGTTTCTACGAATATAAACCAAAATATTCTATACAGTTATTTTCGTTGTGGAACATTTAGAATAGATTGTGTTCTGTAAAACAGTCGGAAATTATCTGGTTGTTGAATAATGTTCAGAAGTACCACCTGATACTCTTTGTTCAGTCATCCGAATATACAATGCTGTTATGTGATCCGAAAATACCTAAGTTTACTACTAGCTAGTGGAATAGCTATCTGCCTGTCAATGTGACAAATTGCAATGATTAATTTCCATAATCACAACCTGATGCAAAACAATAGTTTCGGATCACTTATCATCATCAGCAGTCTCTCATAACAGTTAACCCTTTTACCGCTTCAGCTGAAAAATCTTTACATATTTCAAATGTTGATAACTATGATACGTAATTTATTACACTTCTATTCAATGATGAATTTACATATAGTTCAGTAGTATAATGTTAATTTTTATTAAAATTCTGTTTCATTTTAAAACCAGTATCCCCAATCTATTATGTCGCATTCAACAGAAAATATATCTTCCATGTAATTCTACCAACTTTATATTTGGAATTGTTTCTTTTTTTAAATAATGGATAGATATTACAAAATATGATTCATTGTGCTGATCTTAGTAATCCAGCTAAACCATTACGATTATATCGTAAATGGACTGGACGTTTAATTGAAGAATTTTTCAGACAGGGGGATAAAGAAAGAGAGTTGTCATTGGAAATTAGCCCAATGTGTGATCGTGAATCGGTAGAAGTTGAAAAGTCTCAGGTTGGTTGTTAATTCTTGTATGTACAAAGTTTTCATGTCTTTAACCGATTAAAAAAACGTCAATAAATTTATTTTATAGGAACGATGACATTAACCGGTTGATAGTTAACTTATAACGTAGCTTTCGTCCTCTATGGTTACGAAGCCAGATCCTAACTGGGTAATATCAATAGCTGTCACTCCTGTAGTACGTTTCGTAGACCGATATATTTATTCGTACTTCACAAATGAATTCTAATCAATTTTTGCGTAGAAATATTTCCCTTTTGATGAAAACCATATGAATGCTTGGTACTCATAAGTAATAACATAAGTTTTGAATATTCACTAATTTTTATGATTATTACTGAAAACTACTTGGATTGTTTTTTATTCACATCAACTTGGTATAAAGAATATTATGCGGTTTTAATATGTACTACTTTAAGAATATTTTATGTCTCTCTCCTTGTCCAACAATATGACTGATTATTTCTAAGGTATGCTTAGTAAATTATCATTATGACCCATAAAAATTTCCCACAACACTGATAGAATAAGTGTAAATATTTAGGTCTATAGATAATGACAATTATGTTTCTCATTTATGAGTTACGTGCTCATGTACTTCTATTTAAACCGCATTGTTTATACAAAGATTAGTAATAGAACTACTTGACTGCCCAAATAGACTACAGGAGAGCAAAGTTTGAAACAGGACATAATTATTGAAAAATGATTAATTTGATTATCAATTCATTTCCTTACCGATTAGAATAACATAATCAAATGTGATGTCATTACGTGGAGTGACAATCATGGAAGTATTTTTCCTAGTTCCAACTATCAACCGAGCAGACCACCAACTTCTTTTCAGAAGAGAAAAGTGTTAATTTATAGGCTAATAATTGTTTCTATACTGTTATCGTTAATAATTAGCTTTCTATCAGGGAAAATGAGCGAGAACTAGTGTCAAAAACAACTGATACGCCTGATCGCAGTTGACAGAAGGCTGGCTAAGTGGAGAATATCAGGACCGCCCAGAACTATTTTGACCAGAAAAACTGTATTATTTTCAAACTCCCAAATTCAATAAAATAATATTTCCAAACGCTACAAGTCAGGTGCCAGATGCTTAAATTGCATAAAGTCTAATTCTAACAAGAAAAGTTTGTAATACTTTTCATCATCTTACTTCACAATCTACAATACAAAGATCCAGATCAACCACCAAGTAGTTATGACTACTCAACATTGTCAGTATAGTGTTGGATAAAGATTAAAAACTTCCCAATCTTTTTGTCTTCAAATGGAGTTGATTAACAGTCCATGTCCATGATTTGGTTAGAAATTGAAAAGCTAACCGTTACCTGCTTGTTATAACGTATAGGTGCCTGTTTGATATATCGATTGCTTGCGCGTGCCCTCTTAATATATAAACGTCCAATTAGAGAGGTAATGGATTTGATTGATCGGCGCAATGATGCATGAAATCGTACGAGCAGTCTTGGGTGCTATTCGGTCCTGCTATATGCCTAGCACAGCCAGTTGAGTCCAGAACACAAATAACAGCCTCGGCAATATGAATAATTATTCACAAGCATACTGGGTTTATTCACAAACCAAACATACCACATTATACCAAAAAATAGAAAAATAACATTTGTACAATAATTGGTCAATGTGGCTGTGGATAGGGGGAAAGTAATCAATAATAATAGTTCAAAGGTCAAAATAAAGGTTATGATAAGAGGAACACGAATACGATTAGGTCAGTTATTTAACAACTATACAATAGGAAATAGGCATATTACATTTGTCCATAAATAGACCTCAGATTACCATTCATAATTCATCAGGGGATATAACACCGCTGATTGACAAATCCGGTGGTCCATTATTTTGGTTTCGTACAGTTTTTGATATAGAGCAGTGAACATTCAATGTCATTCCTGCCAACCCTCTCATACCTGATGTAGTTTAATCTTATTTTCACGACATCTTGAACATAAGGAACTCATTTCTAAATTAGTTACTAGTGAACACGCGATTAAAGATTGCTTTGAAGTTTATGAAACTTTTATCTAATTTCCGTGTGATTTTCGTCACGGACTAACGACTGTTGAAGTATTATTTATCGAAAATAAAAATTTATGATTACTTAGATAACCAGTGAGCTATAGTCAATTAATCAGAACGATTATCTAATAATCATGTTTAACTGAATGAACAGAAAAATGTCATAAAACAAAACAGAAGTTTTAAGAACTCAGTCAGAAAGCATATCTCAGAAACAATAAGAAGTTTCAGTTAGTATAAAGTAATAATTTTGAATGATTTACCCCTTAAACCTTGTGGTTTGCGCTCCTTATGAGAACAAGCATAAGTAGTATGCAGCAGGAATCGGGAGTGAAATGCTTACCAGTAGAAAATTTTATATAAAGAGAAGAGGAGGGAAAACAGTTAAAAAACGGAGTAACAACAAGATTAGGAGAATGGTGAAGTATGCAAAAGACAATTGAAAGATGAGCAGATTATGTATTTATTGTTCCATTTTCATGTTTCACAAAGACATTGTGTAACTTCGCATTAAAACGGAAATAGGTTTGGACCACCAAGTCTTCATTCTCTACAAAATGGATCACAAGACCACAGTTACTGTATTTTTTAAGGCTGAAACAATTTAAATGGAATACTTAGAATAGCTACTGCATTTGTGATTATTGAAAATCATTGAATTCCATCGTAAAAATCAATTAATGATATGCATATATTCAATGAACTTGACTCAGTACAACCGTTTAAACATTTTCAACACTACTTGGTTTCGCGCTCGAGCGCTTAACCTCTATACCACTGGGCCGGTATCCAACGGTGTTAATGTCTAACTTCAACCTATACACGAAATTGAGTAGCCATCCACCATTGTCTTGTCGCGAAGCCGGATCGTGGATGCGCACTGCTGAGGAGTCCCACAATAGGACGAAACGGCCATCCAGTGCTTCCAGGTTTTCCATGGTGGTCTAGTTTCAAATGATCCATGAATTCAAATACAAAATCACTTAAGTCTTCACAAAAACGCCTCATAATAATCGTATGCTTACTAGTGACCGGCTTTAGGAGGTATTTCCTGGCGTTCTAGTGAAAAACCGTGACCAGTGAAAATCAACCGTGTTAAGTGTGAGGCATTTCCCCCTAAAGACAATGGAGAATTGTCGCTCAATATTGTGGATTAGTTGAAGTTAGAAATTAACACCGTCAGATCGTTGCTCACAGGTCTAGTGGTCAAGTATTCACGCATGAGACCAGAAGTTCTGGTTTTAAGTCTCGCGTCTGCGATAGTTTATCGGCACTACTGAAGAGTCACATACCAGAACCAAATTACCGTACAGCTTCTCCAGGTTTCCAATGGTGATCCAACATTGATCGATTGATGATGTCAATCAAAATTCAACAATCGCCAGAACCCTATGTTGATAATATAATATTTGTTGCATCTCAATCACTGAACAGTCAATGGATAGATATTTGATTTACCATTTATAAGTGATTTAAAGTTCATTCTGAACTGTACACCTAATTATTATAAAACTGTTTGTTCAAGTTTCAGTGAAAATCTTTTTATATATTAACAAAATTTCCTCCTCTAAAACATTTTTCCATATATTTTACCTAATTTCCTAATTTTAGGTTAGCTTCATTGATTTTGTGTGTCACCCATTATGGGAAACATGGTGTGATCTAGTACACCCCTGTGCTCAATTAATTCTAGATACATTGGAAGATAATCGTGACTGGTATGAATGTCATATAAAAGAATCCAAAATGAAAGTTACTCAGTTAGCTCGACCAAAATTAGCTACTGCCGCAGAAGATGATGAAGAAATTTCCACAACTTCAGGAAACACATAAATTTTATTCGTCAATAATTATTGAGAAAAAGATGGAGGTAAGGGGGCAGATGAAATGAAATATAGGATGGCAAATAATACACACAAAAAATGTAAATACTCAGATAATATTACCTTTTTCACAATCTACATGAAACTAATATCCACCCAACCAAAATGATATAAGTATAATCGTCAAATATATTTATTGATAATAAATATTTTTTACATTAGATTAATAAACGATAATCAATCAAAATCTATTGACTCTCTAATGTAGGAACCATTTATATGATTATAGTCGTTATTGATTCGGTTATTTTGAAGAAAAGAAAAAAAAAGGAAGTGTTTTAATGATTATCTAATTATGTCGTATAATATATTTTCATCTCTATGACTTTTTCTGATATTATCTAACTGTTTATTCATGTATTCACTCATTCACTTATCTATTTCACCTTCATTTATGGACATATATTATAAATATTAAACAAGATACTTAAATGATTCAAAAAGGTTTAGTACATTTATGAATTCAGTTACTTTTGTGAATTAAGAAACAAACAAAAAAATTTAAAAAAAAACAACAACTGAAAGATACTTTACATATGCATACATTCTACCCATTGAAAAGAAACTAGCATCTGTTTTATTTTCTAATTTCAGCGAACGATTTCTTTCATTTTTTGTACTTCTTAAACTAAGAAATTTGTGTTTCTGCATATTTATAAAGGAGACAGAAATAATAAAAAGGTGCACTGAAATCTAGAAAGCATTTCATTTTAAAAACAGATATTATTTAATATGGTGGACATGTTCTTATCTGCCTAATCTGTTTCCCCCATCATTCCCTTCCATACGATCATTTCATTTATCAGTATGGTTATTTTATTCATTCATGTTTGTTTGTTAAAGATTTTTTGTTGCTTTTTTACGCTTTATTTTTCGTAACAAAACACCCACACACACTGAACATTGAAATGATAATTTTTTTTTAAATTCAAGCTTCTTAATAAAATAAAGTTTGAAATGAAAATTAATTAAATCCATAATGAGAAATATCGAATAACTAAACCTGAAAAAAAACCTTGCTCCTGATAAATAATTCTGAGAAGCTCGGTGATAAGGAGCTTTTTAATATTTTGTTTTGGTCTTCACTGATTACCGCTATGAATTATCTATTGGCTATATGAAAATTCAAGACTCAAATGATCTCTTACAAGTATATTCATTAAATTATTTGATTAATTAAACAGTTATTATATTGCTAGAATTCATCATCTTTCAACTATCTTAGCGCCTACTACCTTGTGTATATTTGTGAATGTGTTCACGTGATTGTTTCTTTCAGAATGTTCAAATAATTAATTTTCACTTACGCTGATAATCATAGCCTAATGTATAATGAATATATGATGGTGTTTCTTTCCAGTCATGTTTTTAAAGTATAATATAAATGTATATGTATGTATATGATGTAATCTATCGACCAATCGTCTCATAAATGATTTCCATATCGATCTTGTTTCACTGCTAAGTTGAAAGATCGATTGATAATCATGTGAGAATGTAATTTGTTTGTAGTTATTTTGCTAAATGAACCGACAGAAGATTCTGTACTTCAAACATAAACAATTATCAAGATAATTTATATGAGTTCTAGACAATTGATCGTTTTTTCCTGATTTTACGACCAAAAAAGAAATTATGTTGCTTCAAAAAATTCATTTTTATTTTTCATGATGAAATACTGCTTCGTATTTCATTTTAAAAATAACCGAAATGTGTTTCCCTCCCTCTGTCCTTCTCTTTTTGCATGAATGTGCTTGTTTCTTATAATCAGAAATATTATTATTGTCATTTATTCTGTTTTAATAAGATCTAATTGTTGGATCGATATTTTCATTGGTAATCCATACATTGTGAAAATGCAAAGAAACAAAACTGGATTGGAAAAAGGGAGAAACATGAACACATATAAGGAAAACAAATATGATCAATGATAACAACCATTCATTTGTATTTGCATGCAATAAAAGATTATTTATCAACATAAATCAACGTTTTTTTGTCTGATGTTCTTCTGTTTACTCTTCTAGGCAATATACGTTTTTTAATTAATTTAAAAACTAAAAAAAGTGTTATATACAAGTAAATCATTTCAGCAGTACAGTCATTATAATGGTGGCTTAATATGAATATTATGAAATGTTTCATAAGACATGACTAATCAGGTTGAAAACAAGGGTAAAACAGCGGTTTGCATCTTTGTTAATTCACAATAGTTCCTTAATCAACATCAGTTGATGACGAAAATCTTTTTTCCTACTGAATTAATCTTCATGATACAGATGAATGTATCAGAGTTATTGTGGTCGATAATGATTAGCTTTAAAAATTGATATCCAAAATTTTAGTGTGTTTAGACAGAAAGTGGGATGAAATAGTCATCGCTGATGACTTTGAAAGACAGTCTATGTTATATTATGAATTAAATAATATGAGGAATATATATAATTATATCCCAAGCATGTAGTCCAAAAGTAAATCACTGACAAGCAAACTTGAAATCTTAGGTATAGTCTATGATGATGTCATTATTATTTATCACTGAGTCTTGAAGTAGAATAAAGTCACTGTATAGTCCTAATTGTTTTCAGTTATTCTCCAATGGATATCAGATTGGATAGCATTCATCTCAATATCAAATATATTTTTAAAATAAACACAACTACATGTTAAATGATAAGTGAATATCTTGTAAAGCCAGTCAATACAAGGAAAACAGAACTTTTATCTACGTAATGTCCTTAGATAATTCGTCATAATATGAATTTACACATGTTCGTTCGATAGTTCTAATAAACACAGAATATTGATATTCAGGCTTCGTGATAAACAAAAGATCTGTTCAATGAAAGAGTCGAAATTCTGGAATGTGTATTTTTAAGTATGATTAGTTTGTGTTCCTTATCCAAATTTTATTGGAGTTTTATTTATTTACTACTAATATGAATTTAGGTAGATTTTATGGAAATTCTTTACAATTTAAAGGTAACTGAAGGTTTATCTAATGCAATAATGAACAAGTGTGCGCAACTCTTAAACATGCTTAATTGTTTATTTGTTGATCATAAGGAATTATATGCTGTTAGTTGGCGGTGAACGCATGTGACAAACAAGTTACGATAAGTATTATGTAGTGGTTGTATTTCAAAGAGGAAAAATATAATGAATGGTATCTCAACGAAACAACTTGTTACTTCATGATAAGCTTATAAATGGAATTTAATGTTCAATGTATATTTTAACCAGAATCATACATTTTAGAACATTATGAACCGAATCACGATTTCAAATAATACTGATGAAGTTATTACCTAGACGAATACATTTTAACAACCATTTACCATTAACAGTATTAATAACAAGCATTTTCTTGAAGCAATAACAGAAGAGTACAGATACAGGGGATATCCACAATTTCTGTTTTTTAGAATAACAAAATAAATTAACAGCAATATGGTCTTAAGTACTCCCTCCCAGTATCTTGTATTGGACATTTGTAACTATTAAAAAAATACTCACCGGAACTTAAATGTTATCTTACTTCAATTACATGGTTAAAGTAATATGGATAATATCAAAATAAAAGAGTCCAAACTCTAAATGAACCTCTCATGAGACAAATGTAATAAAAAATGTTACAATCATTCCACATCACAGGGTTTATAGTTTGAAAAGAATTCCGGCTTTTTTTATTGTCGTAAGAACAATTTCTAACTAGACTTGAAAATGAATAGATTATGAAAGATAATCACTAAGTTCTCAAATTGATTGAAGCTGGACATTTACTCACTGTGTTCCGACCCATTGGTTCAACGGTTAAGCGATCACCGGGAGAACTAGAAATCCTGGCCTCGACAATATAGAGGATCATGGATGCAAACTTCTGAATAGTCCCATACTAAGGCAAAACACCTATTCGGCACCCCCTAGCTTCGATTTGCATATAACTAAGGCCGATCCGTGATGTAAATAACCAATATTCAAAAAGTTCCACGAACCCTTGTAAGTCATCATACAACGTGAACATTTAATTGTCTTTCAAGATTGATAGGGAGTGAAATGATTAGAAATCAACATTTCAAGCTGTGGTTCAATGAATTAGAAATTTTCCTACTTCTAATTTTAATTCCTGCTGCTATATGGTCTGAGCAGTCTTACAGAACTATTTATTTTGTTGTTAGACTAATATTATTAAAGACTTTATTCAATATTATATTTTTGGTACAATGTAGAATTATCAGTATGAAGTATTTTAACAAGTTTCCTGTTCTTATTCCTTGATCGATCATGAACATTAATATTGAGTGATCATCAGTTAGATGTTAGCAATTCAGGAATTGAAATCCGAATAATATTCATTCTTTTCGATGCATATTTCTAGCCACCACAATATCAATGATTGTAATTGTTTGTTACTTGTACAGCGAAATGTCGTATACCTCTCACAATCGCACTTGAATGGGTTGTGCAATGAATAGACATAATGATGTGTTAAAAGAAACAAAAGAACAGATAACTTGTTGCAATATTTAGATGTCAGGAACAGGTGGCTTAGATGTTTAAGCAGGTTGCCTCTAACTAGCACAAACCAACCATTTAATTATGTTTCTTGAGATACTTGGTTAAAAATGTCTACAAAATATTGCACATTTGCCTAATGAAAACTCTGTTTTATCACAGTCTAGGTGTACTTTTGTTATATCCCTGCATGTCATTGAGACATACAGTATTGGAAGTCTATTCAGATAATATCAGTGCAAAACTATTTCCAGAACTGTAGAAAATACTCAATCTTATCAAAGATTGTAAAGACTGATATTCAGTATACTTTAAAACTTTTCTGCAATATAAAAACACTAGTGTACCAGTGAAAGGCTAAGGGAATTTTTTAGTCATTCTGATTACAAATATCTACTTCATTGTTTATTCTAATGAAGCAATGTGTGTATTTCGTTCCTTTTTAGTTTCAAGTTTGTAAACAATGTATCCTGATACATTATACATCCGAAGGGAAAATAGATTAGTAATTTGATTCTTATATACTCTAGTTGTTTAAACAGATGTGATTATTTATTTTGAAAAGTATAATAGATCTGGTAATAAAAGATATAATTACCTCTGTGATCGGACTGATTACTCACTCTATTGTATCTTTGATCAAGTCGGGTTTCAACTCGAAGCTCACTTACCCGCACCGGGCCACCTGATGTGTATGCTTGTGTATTAAGAATTGGAGAAGTCCTCATACCTATTTAGTTCATGTTGGCAGGTATATGAAAAGGGTATGCGTGTAGTGTCGTAAAAAGGAAACGTTAGCTGAAATGTTGTCCGTTCTATGTCTAATGAAAACCAACTAATCTGACTAGAACAACACCACCACTGCACACTAGTAATGGGTATGAATCTCAAAATCTTGTTATTTAACTAGAGTTGGACCAACAACCCTAAACTCACCAACCTAAAGATTAAGCGTTCGCCGCGGGACATGATGGTTGTGAATCCAGTCCTTAGAGGCATCACGGTTATTTACTGTAAATAATTGTGACGAACTCCTCCACATATACATTCATTTATGCAACTTTCACATTCCCAAAGTCTTTTTATTGACGAAAAGCTCTTTTCAATGTTGTTTTTGAACTGATGCTTTATTATTTTAAGTTTAAATGATCATACGAATATCAATCAATATCATCCCATATATACAATAGAATACAAGATTGTTGAGTTGTCATACACTAAATGGTACAACGAATTTTAATGTTTACATGGTAATGTAAAGAATTCCTACGCAGTAAAAGTATTTTGTTAATTAAACTACAGTAGATCAAACCAATGTAGAGTCACAATTTCATACAGACAGTCATCTATGTAGGTAGTGATGGACACTGATGTGACACACTATTTCACCCGTTTTTTAAGAGGACATGAAAACATATAATGGAAAAAAACGAAATATTATTACTATTAAATATATATATATATATATATATATATTCAGTTCATAGCCTAAATATATTTTTCCTTAAAATTTATAACTGTAAGGTAATTTAAAACTATATTGATCTCTATTTTTATTAAGCTTTCTGGTTATTCACTTCAAACGTGACTTCTAAACACTAAATTTATGAGATACTACTTAGAATATTCCAACGACTTTGTTTGATTGCTCATTTCCGGCTTTTAAAACCATAAAATGAAAAAGTTTTAATTATGTTTATGGAAAAATATTTTTGGACTAATTCAGTATATATATATATATATATATATATATATATATATATATATATATATATATATATATATATAACTGATTAATCATTGAGTAGTGACTAATGTCATATTTATCTAGCCTTTTTATGTCCTACTCAAACTCAAACGTTGCTATGCGGTAACTAATCTAAGTGAATTATTATTTTATGAGCTGTGTTGAAATGTAAGATGATTGAAGATGGTCTATAGGAATCCCCGAACATATTATGCGTACTAGTTGTGTATCATTTATTATCTTAGGGGAATCAGTTCTTCCTGGGGAGTTCAAACTCGCATCATTCAGTTTCACAGTGTGATATTTTACCATTGAATGTTTCTGTAATTCACTGATTTCTCATACAGCTGAGATATCCACCATTGATTGGTCACTGAATAGTAATCTATGTCATATTTGTAAGTGTTCGCCCAATTCTGTTGATTAGATTGAATTACATACATGTTAGAAAGTATAGTTTCATGTAATCAGATCAATATTTATAAATAATTTCAAACTAAATTTTATATCTGAAAGACTATAGCTAATAAATTCTACTTTACCCGCAACGGGAGTCCTTATGATATGGCCTTATTTTTCTGGGATATAATATCTTCTTTTGATGCTTCAGGTATATTAGAAGCATCGAAAAAATAATTAGTTTTATCATATTCTATGGATATTATTCTTAACTTGTTAAAAAGACAGGAAATTTATTATAGTGAACTTACTAGGTTAAACAATTATTAAAACAACTGGATG